CAAAAAATTATTCTCAATCTTTGCAATTTATCTACATATATTAGATACTGTCCTAAAAATGCGAGTTCCAGGTATAGTTGTAGAAGAATATTAGATACTGTATATAGTTTTCCTCCCCCTCCCTTCCCCTCCCCCTCCCCCTCTTTCCCTCCCTCCTCCTCCTCCTCCTTGTTTTTATTACATGTTATACAGTGTTATTTTTATCAGTTTGTGGAGTTAGGAAACAATCTGGCAAAGATTCTTGTTGAATTGCATTCTGTGTTTAATGAAGCTTCAGAGTTTCATATTGCGTTGAGTATCTCAGAATATATTGTTCAGCTTTAACACACCGATTACAGTCTTGCTATAAGTAAAGTTGAATTTTCCAAATAGAAACAACATCTATTTTCACAATTGTATCTTAAATATACTGAAGGAAGAGAATATTTGTAGCTCAGGGTTAAACTCTGAACTCGGCACTTTTCTTGCATATATTTCATTACAAGCTAGCTAACATTACCAGTGCTAGTAGGGAGTGGGGTTTGCTCTCAGTTTATATTCTAGTGGCTTGCTCTGTCAGCTTTAGGGAGAGTTATCCTAGTGGTGCTTTGATTGGGCTAACTATCTCCTTACCATTAGCATCATTTTCCTTGCCTATTATGAATTAGTTACAAAGATTTGTAATGAGGAATTAGATAACAGGGCTGGGTAGAAATTCACCTGCGAAGAGCAAAATGTAAGCCAGAACACACCTAAGTGTGTGTACAATACCTGTTAGGAACATCTTTAACCAGACGTATTGTTTCCTGGGATTTCACATCATCTATGAAGGACAGATATGCAAGCACAGAAAAAGATGCCACCAACAGATACTTTGTATACAATCATCTAAGCTCTGAATCACATTTTTCTCTTTGAATCTAGAACTCTGCACAGCCTCACATATAGTTATCAGAAGAATACAATACATGCTACACAACCTATTAGACTTGACCATGTCATACAAGGTATCAGGGTGGATAAGTTCATCATAAGTGAGAAAAATGTAAATATTTAGAAAGTATACAGGAACAGAATAATAAAGCAGGAGGAAGCTTTTCCTATACTGCTCAGAATGCCCCCAAATGGAATCCCTTTGACTTAACCCTGCAATAAATCACTACCAAATAATACTTTGAATTTCCTAACTGTTGGTAAAATTGGAGCATATGGCTGACATTTGGGCTTTTGCCAATCTTAGTGAACTGGGCACCTCTAACAAGCTGGAGTCAATCTTTGTCTATGGCTAGAAAAGAATGCTTCTATGATTGCATAGTTGGTTGGCCTACACAGCCAATTGCACACAACAATTTCTAAGTGTTTGCCAGTAGGTGCAGGTTTCAGCCAATTCATTGCCATTGTTCTAAGCTAGACAAGCATGTTCAGGGTAAGTGAAAAATAAGGAGCATCTCCTATTTCTTAAATACTCTTTTGATTGAAAGGGTAAAATACACTTAAAGTTTTGATTAAAAGGACTGAATTAAATACAGAATAAAGAGATGTATTTTCAGCAGAAAGGTTTTTTTTTAAAAAAAATGGAAGAATCTCAGAGGGATACAGTACAATATCAAGGCATCTGTCATTGTGTGACCTTTTTCCTGTTGACTAACCACAAAGGCTTTTCATATATAAAATTGAAATGAAGAATATCTCTTATTGTAACCAGCAGGCAATGTCATACAGAAATAGCCACAGAAGTTGAACAGTATGTGGGAATAACCTTGGAGGACAGCAGGAAGAGCTACAGCCAGAGGAACTTGAAACCTTCTGTAAATATAACCTTATAATAAAATTAAGTTAGTTCATCTGGGCATCCTTCAGTCTGGACAGTCTGGACAGTCACAGGGCTGACATCAATCTTGCAAGTCTGAATCTATGCTTCCCCACCCCATCACATCCCAAAAAACTAGGGAGGGTTTCTTCTGAGATTTCAAAGATTTTTTTTTTTTTTCAAAAGGCAACTGGACTGTTTTTCCTTGAGAAGAAGAAAGAGAAAACATTTTGCTTCTCACCCAAGAAGCTTCCTCTTCTTGAATGAAGTTTCCTGAATGAAGATGAAGCTTCTTGGATGAGAAACAAAACATTTTCTTCTTCTTCCTCAAGGAAAAACAGTCCAGTTGCCTTTTGAAAAAGCACCTTTGAGACAACTATGGCCTGGATGATTGAGAATCTCCACAGACATTTCCTTCTGAGATGTTTATATCATGCTCACATTCTTGCTGTGGGCTAAGTTGCCTTTTATTTGACCATTCTCCTGGCTCTGGCTCTTCAGACTATCTCCCAAGGTCATTCCCACACACAGTTACAAGTATGAATCAATTTCCAAAAGCAAAATTATGCCTCTGATAAAATTTGAAGAAGATATGGGAGTTAAGATTTTCCATAAGAAAGGAATAAGAATCGAAGAATGACCCACAAGCTGAACAATTAAGTTCCAGAGTCTGAAATGTGCTTCAGATATTTTTCTATTCTGATTTAAAAAGTGCACTCAGAGAACTGACCATAAAATTACAATAGAATATTACTTTCATGTATCAATGCTTAAGGGTGACTCTGGATGCACTTTTGCAGAAAGCTTAAAATGCTTTTTTGAATCGCCATAGTCTACACAACGTTTCCATTATTACATTTTGAATGCGGATGTGAATGATTTCTTGCTGCTAGAAATACTGCTGTCATTATCATTTTTTTAAAAAAAGTGATGCCTTAACTTGCTAAGACCTTAGCTGGTCTGCAGCAAGAATGTCATCCAGAAATCAAGAAAAGATATATTATGGACTATTTAATCAGACATGTGCCCAGCAGGGTATTTGTTCATTTCACCTCTTTCTATATGGAATGTGATTTTGAGAAATGAGAAAAACAGCATCAAATTTTTGGGAACTCTAAAGGTTAGAGATAGAGGAGGGATGATAATTAAACAATGATGGAGAGGCAGAAGGAGAAGGAGAAAAAGAAGGGGAAGGGGAAAGAGAAGGGGAAGGAGAAAAAGGAGGAGGAGAAAGGGAAGGGGAAGGGGAAGGGGAAGCGAAGGAAGTAACAACTTCATACTTCCCAAAGAAGAATAAGCATGCTATTCTTATCACTGTGATAAATCACAGATAAATCTGTGATTTATCACAGATCATTAAATGTCTTTTTACCCTTGAATCCAAGGGCTGTACAATACTATCCTCCACTGACAAAATGCATTTACCAACTGACCACCACCCCAATCCCTGTCCCACAAAGATGCTCCCTCCTTTCTCTGTTTGCCCTTGGTCATTTTCTGAGTAGAATGACATGCATCCAAACAAAGCACAGGCTGCGGCTGTTTATCATGTTTATTTTCCAATATTTAACATTGAAATCATTTGCTAATGATATAAAAGGGTTTGCTATGGGAGAAATGCACTGTGGGCAAGAAGAGAGATATTCACAGACACTGTTGCATCCTTGGGTATCCTGGCTCTAAACCCAATGTCAAACATACTCATGCATTATTTTATTGGATTAAATTTTCTGTGGACTAGTCTTTAAATGAAAGAAGCCTATCATTTATCAAATAAGTGATTTTTAATGATTCCTTTAATATAGATAGATAGATGATAGATATCTCTACAGTATGTATCTCTATATATGTGTTTTTATGATGACTATGATCATGATTTATCACTTATAGCTTTTATGTACACTGAGAGCTTATATACCAAAGATAAATTCTTTGTGTGTCCAATCACACTTGGCCAATAAAGTCTATTCTATTCTATTCTATTCTATTCTATTCTATTCTATTCTATTCATCATCTATCTACCTGTACCATCTATCTATCTATCTATCTATCTATCTATCTATCTATCTATCCATCCATCCATCCATTATCTATCTATCTATCTATCTATCTATCTATCTATCTATCTATCTAATTATAGATGTAGATAATATACAGATACAGATAGGTACCCACAGTGTATACATGTGTGTGGGTATACATACACACATGTATGTATGCGTGTATATCAGGGATAGTGTGCAGATGTAGAAAAGATTGGGGAGAGTGCAGGGAGGTGCACAAGTGGTAGGTAAGGAAAGATTTCTGAAATGATGACCCGATGATTCATGGATTGTCTAGTAACATTTCATTGCATTCTAAAATAAATCCATATTGAACTTCTGTTACATCTCTACTCCTTACTATAACATTTTGCTGTAATCTCACTGGTCTTAATATAGCAACAAACCAGAGTAGCATCTTTTCCCATTATGGCTTTTATATCTTCGTGTCTAACTTTTTCCCTACAGGAACATTTCCAAATTTTTCTCTATACAAATGTTTTTTGCATGTTACATTTCTTGTTTCTGAAATAGAGTATGTCAACATTGTTTTTACTTAATTAATTATCCTTAAAGAATTTTGAATGTGTGTGTGGACCCAGTGTGAGACACAGCTTTCCATTGTTCCATTATGTTATGGTTCCTGTCCTCTCTATATATATATTATTGAAGTCATCTTTACAATGGTAAAATGTAAAGCCATTGTGAAATCATTTTATATTTTTGTGTGTGCTATGTTAACAGTATAACTGTACATTTCCATGAGAAACATGTACACATCATTATCATTTCTAAACTAGTAGATTGTTAATTATAAATAAGGATACAGAACATGGCTCCTAATTTGATCTAGGTCTAATAATGTTTTGAGGGTTTCTAGTAAATGGTCTTTCATGTTTTCTTCAACAAGCCCAATTTTTTGGAAGTGGGATGTATTTTTTAATGGCTCAGTGATATTTCATAACGTTAGCTGCATTTACAGAAGAGGCTCTTAGTAATTGTGCTGTTAGGTAGTTCATGCTTAAAATTGGATGGTTACTCCTTCAATTTTCTACTTTTAAACAAATAATTAGGACTCAGAGAAACTGTACTTATGAATAACATAAAAATTACAAATGCTTATGGGATTGTTTCATATTATTCTGACAGCAACTTTTTTTCTTTTCAGATTGCTAGTATCTGTTTTGTTCTACCTTTCCTACTGGCAACATCCCAGATATTCACCTCATCTCAGAATTGACAGAATACATAAATCCACTTTTAATTTCATTAGGCAGTGAGCCAAACTGTGATAATTGAAAGTGGTTAATCAGAGAAGATAAACCTCACCCCATCCAAGACAATGAAACCATTTAATGTATGAACTTTCTATGATTTCTGTTTTATTGAAGAACACATTCCTGGGTTGCAGGACTTTTACTGAGTTGGAGCTGAGGGAATAGACATATATTAAATTGCATATAAAAATAGGCTCCTTGAGAAATAAAAATATCCCATCATGACTTAGGAAATGTTTGTATGTATGTTTACTTCCTAGATACCAAGATGCATTCACATGGATTGCCATCACCACTATCTCCTGAGTAGCAGCAGTTGATTCTGAGGATATTACCCAAGATGAGAAACTCTACAATATTCTTCTTCCAATCTGTTGATATTCTCAGAATTAGAACAAATAATGGGCTTCTGAACTTGAGGTCTTCCTAGGTTCACTTCATCACAATTGCGATGCTTCCCAAACAATGTTAGATGACAGAAGTAGCAACGTCCATCCCACTGCCATCCCCACACACCCCAATTCTTTATATTGAAAATGGATGGTAACATTTTCTGCTCACTGGCATATTTGCTTTTGCTTTCTGCACAGACTGAAGAATCCAAATATGCCACTGAGCAGAAAATGATTCTTCAGTCTGTGCAGAAAGCAAAAGGCAGCTTCTCCTTCCCTAAAACTCTGGTGGCCATTTGGCCTTTATTGTGTCATAGAGTTGTCCCAGACAGCATGGAATTTCAGTACCACCCAGCCTCATCAAATATTAATCTCACAACCATTAACAATGGTGGCTTTTCACTGCCATGTGAATTGCACATCAATATTAATGATGTCTTTCCTCAACTTAGTCTCTTTGCCAAGATTTGGGAATCTGCCTACCTTTATAGAGAGCAAGTTGGACCAGGCAATCTTTTTGCAGGGGGAAAAGGACTGTCTATTTCAGTTAAAATATTGGCAATTGCATTAGACATGTCTCTTTTCTTTTTTCTTTTTCCTTTTCATTTCTAATCAGATCTTGCTTTCATCTGCTGATGATCCCACCCAGTTGGAATATACCAGCAAACTAGCAATTTATTTCAAACCCATTACCAGAAAATAAAAAATGTAGACAGACCTAGTCACAACTGTTGAAAATACAGATTCTTTTGCAAATCAGCCATAATGTCTAAATCTCCATTGGCAAGAAATAAAGACATGCCATGCCTTATCCAAACAGATGGACAGCCCATGATATAGATTACTTTAAAGTTGACTTTTTAATACCATTCTCCTAGATAACAGAAAATTGTTTGAAGGCTTTGAGCCTTCATAAGAAATGTAAATGTAATTGCCTGCAGCTCAGACTTATTAATAAAAGTAGGAAAGCATCATAGCTAATTATCATGGGCATTTGCATTCTCCAAACATTTTCATTATTTTAATCTAACTGTGGAGCAGATGATTGTATGAGTTCCAATGCAGCATTTTACAAAATTAGTATCGACCATGAGTAAACTGTTGTTATCCTCCATACAAAAGGGAAGAGTGACAAGTATCTCGGTTTTAAAAGCAAAGCAGCACAGAGAGATCCCATTCTTCAAAGTAAAAAAAAAATAAATCTGGCACTTTTGTAATCTGTAGCAGAGATTGAATGCAGAATTTCAGCTGATAAATGTTGCATATTTTATAAACCAATTCCGTTTTGGTTATGGATCTAGAAAGGTATCTGCAACAAATTACCTTTGTCAAAACAGAAAGAGAGAGATGGAATTGATTTGCACAAATCTAATTCAGCCAAGGCCAGTACAATATTGGGGGGAGAGGAGCTTAATCACTTCTGAATACAAGTGGTACAAAACATTGGCTGCTAAGTAGTTGATGTAATGCCCATGCACATGGGCAGGAGGTGCATTATTGCTTTGCCATTGAAAAGAGGACACTTCAATTCCCAGGAGTGTTTGTTGGATTAAGACCTGAAATTGCTTGTTTAGACATGAACAGCTGCATCTTGGTTAGTATCTTAGAAAAGGCTTGCTTCTTCGCAACAGTTGCTTCTTAAAGGGGAAAAGGATAATTTCTTGCTTGCTAAGTATACCCCAATCTGAACCAGATGGTAGAAGAAATCCCATGGATCCAGGCATTGTATAATGGATAGCGGGCTAAATATTGACATGTATTCATCTGTAAATCTAATGGATGGCCTTGCCATAAGCAAATCCCATATTCTCTGTGCTAAATTCATTCCTAATATGTTTTATAATGTTCAGCACATTTCCACAACATAGATTAAGGAGATATCTTAAACATTAGGCAAAAGACTTAGAGTGCATTTGTATGATCAGCAACTTCAACAGTAACATAACATGGTGTGACAATTTTTCCATGCTTATGGGGTCAACAGGCTCAAAGAATGGATGAACTGCCTAAAGCAGTCAATCTTCTGCCTGCCTAAATCCATTGATCATCCATGTGATCAGCTCCAAGGTTGACCTGTATAAGAAACATCTTACTTAGTGGTACCATTCACGGGGTATCACTAAGCAAGGCAATGACATGATTATTACATCACCAAACCATGTTTTTATTTTACTTATTTGCTAAATAGGGCACAACAGACAAGGGTTGCCAAATCCTTTATACCACAAACATAACAACTGGATAATGGCATAGTGATGTGTGAATTTAGCTGGGATCCCTCAGCCTAATATACAGGTTTTTATGAGGATGGGCTGGTACAAAGTACAATGCATCATGATTAATGAGCTCCATTTATGATACATTTTATGCAGATAGAGATAGATAGATAGATAGATAGATAGATAGATAGATAGATAGATGATAAATAGATAGATAGATGATAGACAGACAGACAGACAGACAGACAGACCTGTGTTTCCTCAAAAATAAGACCCTGTGTTATATTTTTTTGAACCCTGAAATAAGCGCTTGGGCTTATTGCCTTGCGCTCAAAAGCCCGATTGGGCTTATTATCAGGGGATGTCTTATTTTGGGGAAAACAATGACCTAGCCAAAAGCTAAAGTTCAGGATGAACTTTTGAATACATAGAGGAAAAAAGACTTTTGAGAGTTAATTGTACTGTATGGTTTATACTGTATGGTACAAAGATATTATAGAATCTAGTTGTTCTGCTTTAGATACCACAAAGCCGCTTCTACTTCTCTTTTTACCATGGTTTTTTAACATTTCCTAAAAACATTTGCCTTTAGTTTTTACATTGTATTTCAGTTTTAGATGATTGACTTAACTGTATGTATTCAGAAAACATATTTATAAATTGTTTTTCTGAACAAAGTCCATTCTTAGCAATAGCCTAGTATAAAAACTTGATAACACTGTAGTAACATTTTTGTATTTTAAAGTGCTCACCATAATACATTAAAGGGCCTTCATGATCTGTGCCCTATGTATTAGAGTATACTTCTATCAGTTCAAAGTCAGACTCATAGCAGCAGAATATTGATAAACATAACAACACGTTCAGTACAATTCATTAATTAAAACAGTGGGAATACATGAGTTTTCACAGCCTTTTAAAACACTATTGCTAGACATCACCAGAAAGGAACTGCAAAAAATAAATGCATTTAATAGGATTATGAAAAAAATCTTCACTTTTGCTTTTGCTTTTTTAAATATTAACTATTAGACATACAGCTGGCCTTTGCTGTATGTTGTTTGTATACGTTCGATATATCTGGTCACTGATTGAAATAAACATCATATCACCAGATGGGAGCAGATTTGGCCCTTTGTTCCAGCATTATCCTCTGTGAGGTAGCACAAATGAAATCCAGTTAGGATTCATCGATCCATTAAACCAAAGCTATAAGAGACTGGGAGATGGAATTTGCTTTTAAAAATGTACAAGATGTGACAATTCTCATACAATCAGAAAAAAATAATGTGATAGATCACATCTTCCCAAAAAAGGAGAGATTGAATCAAGAACACCTATCCAAAAGGGTGCATAGAGTAGGCAAGAGAAAAATGAACTAAATGATTTGAATATTCATTCTATAAATAATTGAATAGCTTGCTTGTGGTACACACTCATTCATTCACTGTGGCTTCCTAACTTTTCTTCTGGTTGAACTCTGACAAAGGTAGGCAATGAGGCTTCCCCACCCCCCACCCCACCCCAGCAAGTTTTCTTTCTTCAACTATAAACTGTGATGCTTATTTACAGATTTTCCCCTCTCCATCAAGTTCTTCAGCTGCTCATTTGGTCATGTGACATCATATACTTATACCGTGTTCCAGGAAATTGGAGATTGAATGAATATGGGCATTCTAACATTGTCTCTGAAAGGGAGATGCCTCCTTGCAAAGAAAGACTAAGCCAGCAAGTCACTTTAAAAGTTAAGAATAAGTTTAAAATTCATTGTACTGTGTATTTTTCTTTTTAAAAAATGGTGTGACTACCATTTTATTTTAAAAAAAATGTCTATGTTAAAAAGAAAACAACTATTATTGATAAAAGCACTTAGAAATAAAAACCCAGGCTAAAAATTGCTGTGTTGAAGTAGACCATAAAATGAAATGGATTTGGATAATCTGCTCATTTGCACTGCTAGAAGCTTCATTTTCTTTGTTTGTGTGCCTTCAAAAATTACCATCTTAAAAATAAAACTGTAAAAAAATACCATCTTAAATATAAAACAATAATCATAAAACCTGGATAGATTCATTTAGATGGGAACAATCCTTCTAATGATTTAGCTACAAATCAGGAACTATCCTTTGTGCCGGAATGGCGCTTGCTGAAATCTTCTTTGTCTAAGAGAAAACGTTTCATTCTCTTTTGAAACATAAACTAGGAACATCTAAAGATCTTATTTGTTCCCATTCTTCTCCCATTCACACACTTCTAAGTAGAGGCTGAGTTGCACGTTCAACTTTTTCCGAAACTACTACCAATCATCTACAATTATTTTTCACAGCAGTTGTACAGCAGGATTTCAAAGGCTAGGAGATGGCCTCAATTTGCACCCTGTTTCATTTATCAGGAAATCTGTTTGCTGTCAGAAAGGCATTTTGCCATCCTATTCTATTAGTCATTTGGTTAAACAGCAAGATTTGCAATTAACACTTGTGGTAATTAGGCTTGGGCTTGGTTTGGTATAGAACCAACCCTCGTCTTTTAATTAAAATCCCAGAAATTGACAAAAATGGATAGGTTTAACTGAGCCAAATGAGAAAGATGTATTGGCTCGATCTCCATTTGTG